TTTATTTCTTCCTTTTGGATTTGGACACATTTCAATTATTTTTCTTGCCTAATTGCTCTGGCTAGGACTTTTAGTACTCTGTTGGACAAAAGTAGTGAGAGTAGACATCCTTACCTTTTTCCTGACCTTAGAAGAAAAGTTTTCAGCTTTTCACCATTGAGTATGATGTTAACTGCTGACTTTGTGCTTAGTTCTTCTTATACTAGTTTCTTAAAGTGTACCGTTAGATTTATTTGAAACTTTTTTCCTAATGTAGGCATTTATCACTATAAAATTCCCTCTTAACACTGCTTTTGCTGCATCGCATAAAGTTTGGTATATGGTGTTTCCATTATCCTTTCAGTATGTTTTTTAATTTCCCTATTGATTTCGTCTTTGAATCATTGTTTGTTCAGGAGTGCATTGTTTAATTTCCTCATGTTTATGAATTTCTAAGTCTTCCTCCTGTTATTGATTTCTACTTTCATACCCCTGTGGTCTCTGATTGGGGTACCAAAGCAGGTCCTTCATGTAGTACTCCCGACGGCTGGGGAAGCTGGTCACTCGCCCTGATCTCACTTTCCCAGCAAGAGGAAATTACCTCGGGAATTCTTTCTCAGCACTGGATGATGCCGACTTGGGGGAATGAGATGATGCAGGCATATGAAGCTTTCATCCTACCCTTTTTGTGTAGTTATTCTCTAGTGTTTTGTGCCACTGTGTTGCTGAAGTTTCTTAAGTGGACTCTAGAGCTCTACTAGAGCTGCTTTTATTCGTGGATAGCTGTCTAATTATTGATCTTTGTTGGGGCCAGAGGCTGAGGTATTACTTCACCATGTTTGTGACATCACTACTCTTTTTTTTTTAATCCTCACCCAAGGATTCATTTACTGACGAGAAAGAGAGAGAGAGAGAGAGAGGGAGAGAGGAATATCAATCCAAGAGAAACATCAATTGGTTGCCTCCCATATGTGCCCAACTAGGGATTGAACCTGCAAACTTTTTGGTGTGATGTTCCAACCAGCTGAGCCATCTGGCAGGGCCACCTCACTAGTCTTGAATCAAACTTTTCTTTCTTATTTAAACTTTGTTAAATCCCTATTTCTCTTAACTGCTGATGCTTCATTTCATGTATTACACTTTCTTCCAGTTGCATAATGGTCACTCATCATCAGCAATTTGATGGATTTGAAAACAATTAAGTGTCCTTTCAAGCTTTCCAAAGTCAATTGCATTTTCTTTAACTATTTCCTAAAAAAAAAAATACTTAATTTGAATTGAATGCTTTCTTTCATTCTCTCCTCTCTGCACCACCAGTAGCTGCATAACCAGTAGCTGTAGTTAAATAGCATTCTTTTGTTTCCAATTAAACTTGGAGATAATGATACTTCTGGTATTTCATTTATTCATACAAATTATCCATTACCAGCTATACAAGTTTTCTTTGGAATCTATTATGTAACATAATTAACTGTGACATAGGCATTCTATTTGAGGCACTCACACCTTGTACTCTGTTGTAGTTGGTTTCAGTAGATAGACAGCATGGTAGCATAGTTATAAGTTCATGGTCTTCGAAAAGACATCCAAGATTCTAATCCTGTCTCTATCACTCATTTGTTGTGTTATGTTAACTTATATGTAACTTCTTTATCAATATAAGCTCTCTCATATAAATCTTTTATACTTATTTACTTAATATTTAATAAAATAGTGGTTTAAAAATAATGACCAAGGGGGGCGAGGGCAGGGTGGAAGAGAGGCTGGTCAATGGGAGGTAAAATGGGGACATCTGTAATACTTTCAACAATAAAGATAAATTTTTAAAAATTAACACAAGTCAGACCCAAAATCAATTAAAATATTTTAATTGATTTTATATTAAAATATTTTAAAATATAAATAAATAAAAATAATGAACAACCCACAATCAAGAGTCTCTACCTACGAAGTTAACACTTGAGCACTAGATTGATATGAAAAGTTCGACTCCAGAGCTTAAAGTATGTGTAAGGTTCAGGGGCTGACAAATTGTGACATTTACTGGTATTCCTCATTAGCATTGATGCATAAAAACATGAGACAACATTTTTGGAAAACTCTTCTTAACTCTTATCTAGTTTTTATACTTAAGATAATATAAATACCCTATTAGCATAGACTCTGATGGGTGTTAATGTCTCTTGGTAATAGAGCACTCTGTATGTAGTAGATATTCATATTCTTATCTGATTACAGGTTACTATAAACACAAAAGACTATTTAGATTCATTTTACCTATCATGTCTGAAATGGAGGTCTTGAAACTCAGAACTTCGGTCACTTGACAAGCTGACATAGATTGTACAGTGGGGCCTTGACTTACGAGTTTAATTCATTCTGAGACCGAGCTGGTTAAGGAGCTCGTTAACTCAAATTACTCTATCAACTCAATGCAAAAAATCTGCTGAGAGACAGCTGGTATCTCAAAAAACTCGTTAGTCAGGACACTGTATTTTTGAGTAACTGCGAAAAGTCAACTTTTTACAAAACTTTTTTAGACTTAGAAATAGTTCTAAAGTCTAATTCTTTATTGGTCATTTTTATTATCTAAGTCATATTTAGTCCTAATTTTTTCCCAATGTAATTCTGAAAACTACAAAGAACTTCTTACTAGTATTATTACCAATACAAAACTCCAGAGAACATTTTCTACTTTAGTTATACAGGTTTTTGGACCCCTGGATCAGATCTTTGTTGATTTTTTTCCATTCTATTCAATCCTTAAAGAGGACATAATGTTTAGCCAGTAAAATGACTAGGTGACACAAAGAATTATTCAGCCCAAAATATCAGCGGTACCACTGTTGAGAAACGCTGCTGTGTAAGTAAAAGCCTTCCCCATTATATTTCAGTTTCCTCTCTCCCTCCCATTCTTTGTGCTAGTGTTCAGTGTTTCCATGTGGGAAAACATTCTGAGCAAATATCTGGAACCTTCTAGGCCAGCAGTTCTCAACCTGTGGGTCGCAACCCCTTTGGCAGTCGAACGACCCTTTCACAGGGGTCGCCTAAGACCATCCTGCATATCAGATATTTACATTACAATTCATAACAGTAGCAACATTACAGTTATGAAGTAGCAACGAAAATAATTTTATGGTTGGGTCACAACATGAGGAACTGTATTTAAAGGGCCAGAAGGTTGAGAACCACTGTTCTAGCCAGTCCTTCCAGGCATTGCTCAGAAAGTTAATGTTTTTCCAGATCCTAAGAAAAATCAGTTGAGGAATTGGTATTACAAAATGTGTTATAATACTTCTGTGAGAATTAAACAATCAACATAGAGATCTTGATTTTCACAGAATCTACTGATGTCATCTTGAAAGCAAGATCAGGAAGTGATGATTCGTGGAATTGAAAGTTAAGGTTGACATTCCCAGGAACTGAGAGAAAAATGGTCATGATCTAATCAATTCGTCTTGATTGTAACTGTTGCCATGTGTTTTGTGCCCTGTTTACTATTAATGATGAGTCATTCTTGCAAATAAAATAAATATTAATATGCTAATGTGCATAGTATACTTTACATAAATTCTGTGAGTGGTATTGAGGAAATAACAAATATTGGTAGCATGTGGTTTTTCAAGATCAATTTTTCTTTTGTGGTATACACATTATTTTCTAGCTCCATTGTTGATAATCATTTGGCATCACATTTCTGTCCCAGTGATTGAACTGCTGCCACATTAACAAGCCTTACAGAACTCCCTATCTAATCTGCCAATTGAAGGGGGATGGTATTTTTTTTTAAGTGATTCTTTTTTTTTTTTAATATATTTTATTGATTTTTTTTTTTTTTTTTTTTACAGAGAGGAAGGGAGAGAGATAGAGAGTTAGAAACATCGATGAGAGAGAAACATCGATCAGCTGCCTCCTGCACATCTCCCACTGGGGATGTGCCCGCAACCCACGCACATGCCCCTGACAGGAATCGAACCCGGGATCCTTCAGTCCGCAGGCCGATGCTCTATCCACTGAGCCAAACCAGTTTCGGCTTTTTTAAGTGATTCTTGATTGTAGTCAGAATTTCAAGAGTACCTGTAGTTTAGATTGTAATCTTTTCTGAGGATGATTTGTCTTACTACTAAGATAGGGTTCAGTAATCAAATTCTCGCTTATTTCTGCCAGCTGTTATCTTAGATCCCTGAAGAATGGAATTCCCTAATAATTGACCATATATATGTGTATGTGTGTATGTGTCTCTCTCTATCTATTTAAGAAATGCATATCCTTTCCTCCATAACACAAATAAGTAAGAATTCGAGCTCTGGAACTTAATGGGCAAAGTTAGCATATACAATTTCAACTCTGTTACTTTGCTACTTTGGCAAGTTTCAACTCTTTGAGCATCATATTCCTCATTTTAAAAATGTGTATAACAGCCCTGGCTGGTATTGCTAAGTAGTTAGAGGATCAGCCCGAGCACCAAACGGTTGCCAGTTCAATCCCCAGCCTGCTCGGGGCTCCTGAGGGAGGCAACCAATCGATGTGTCTCTCTCACATGGATGTTTTTCTCTCTCCCTCTCCCCATCCCTTCCTCCCTTCCTTCCACTCTCTCTGAAAAGCAATGGAGAAAATATCCTCAGGTGAGGATTTTTTTTTTAAAGGTGTATAACAATAATAGTATAATAATAACAATAGTAATTCAGTGTTGGAGGAGTTGAGAACAAATGACAAAATGCATGTAAAGTTTAAGTCTTAACAGTGTTGGGCATATTAGCAGCATTCAGGAAATGTTAGCCCTTATTAACACTAGCCTAAACAAAATAGAGTTTATAACTTCTACTTGAATTTCTAACTACTTCTTGAATTTCTTCCTTAGGTGACTTTCGGCCTAACTTGTTTCCATAGGACACCGTCACCTCTGAATGTTATCAATAATTGTCTTGTTTTCTAACTGTAGCAAGCTGGAATGTTTATTTTCTACTTAAAAATTCTTATTGTTCTTCTCATTTAACTACATGTTGTTTGTTTTGCTTTAGGACAGAGATGCGTGAGAATGGAAGACATGGCAGAGAACTAGAAGAACAGTTCTGCTTTTTATCACTTCCTCAGAGGGATGTGGCTGAGATATATAAGAATGGGATAAGCACCAAAACATCTACATTGAAGATATTAGGAAATCCTCTTCTTGGAGTTTATATGTTTAGACATGTTGATGTTGCCTTGAATTATGCTCATAGCAGAAGCATTAAGATAGAAAGTATTATAATTTTTAAGGTAGGTAGCCTATAACAAATTTTAAATATTATATTCAGTTTGTTTTAAATTGACCTGAACATATGAATTATTATTAGTGTTTTTAGTTACATTATGTAAAACAAATAATAATTATATTTATTACTGTCATCATTAGCATCATTCAAAATTTCCACCCATCTGACTCTAGTAGGGTGTGCAGCATAAACTAAAACTCCAAGTAAGCAAAGGCAGCCTTTATCATCTTTGTCTTCCCAGTGTATTTTTTTTTTCTTCCCTAATTGATCATCTTTCTTTCTCTTGTTCAGACCACAATTAATGTCAGAATATATTTTATTTTTTTAAAATATATTTTATTGATTTTTTACAGAAATGAAAGGAGAGGGACAGAGAGTTAGAAACATCTATGAGAGAGAAATATCTATCAGCTGCCTCCTGCACACCCCCTACTAGGGATGTACCCGCAACCAAGGTACATGCCCTTGATCGGAATCGAACCTGGGACCTTTCAGTCCGCAGGCCGATGCTCTATCCACTGAGCCAAACCGGTTACAGCAGTGTCAGAATATTTTAAATGTCCTTCCTCAAAACATTGATTAGAATTATTCTGGCTTACGCTAAAGTTCTAAACTCTTATTGCTTATTTTAGTTAATAGTATTATAAAATGCTAATTTTTTAGTTTGGATAATTTTGCCATGCTTATGTAAGATGTTAACATTAGTAAAAGCTGGGTACAGGTCTACAGGAACTCTGAACTGTTTTTCAACTTTTCTGAAAGTCTAAAATTACTCAAAATTGAAAACAGTAAATCTTATAGTCAAATCTTAAGCATCAACACATTGGTTAAGATATACTTTTTGGTTAGTTGCAGCTTTGTCAGGATTAGTAAAATCACAGAAGCTAGGCAGGATGCTCAGTTGTGTAACTTAGGATGTGTATATATTCATGTAAAATCGTTGGTTCATTTGGTATACTTTCTTACATTTTTACACCTCAACTATAAAATTCATAGGCATAATTTATTTTTACATTAAAAAGTAATACATGCTAATTTTAGAAAATTTGGAACATACTAAAAAGCTCCAAAAAGCTCTTTCATACTTCTTGCTTTAAAACAGAGCTTGCTTCGCAACTCTCTGTGTATGACAGTTTAAAGTGCTTTGGTGTATTTTTACAGACCTTCTTTTTGCCTTTTTTTTTTTTTAAGGTTCTCTTTGGAAAAGTGAAGAAAATTCAGCCTTCAGTGGATAAAAACAAAGTTTCTTTGGATCCTTGTCCTAACTTTGATTGCCATATGTCGAAAAATATACCTTCTCTGAAAGATACCATTGAGCTACAAGCCTACAATTCAGCAGTATGTTAATGTTTTAGTTCATTTGACTACTTGAAAGTCACATGTTTTACATTGTACGATACAAGACTTAAAATAACTTCCCAAAATACTAAAGGAAAATCCCTTAATTCATTTAATATAATAGGATCTTAAATAAATAAATAGTGAAAGATGTTTTAATACTTACCTGAGAATTTTAGTAGAAAGATTTTCAGATTTATATTTAACTTTGTTCAAAGTACAGTATCTGCCTTTTTTAAAAAATCCTCACCTGAGGATGTGCTCCATTGATTTTAGAGAGAAGGGAAGGGGGAGAGAGAGAGAAACAGCGATTGCTTGCCTCCTATATGATGGTTGAACCCGCAGCCTTTCAGTATATGTGACAATGCTCCAACCAACTGAGCCATGCAACCAGGGCAAAGTACAGTGTCTGCTTTTATTTAGATGTTCCATAGATTCATATCTGTCTTGCAAAGAATGCAAACAGGCTATTTTGAAATAATGTTACTGATTCTTGGTACTTTACAAAAGGAGAAAGTACTTTTATATTGGTCATTACATGAAATGATAATTTTCTGTCCTGTATTGCTGAGACAGTAGACCTTTAATCTTCTATATAAGATTAAATTATATAATACATATTATGTATAAACATATATAATATTAAATGAAGTTAAATCTTCTAGAAATCCTATATCATAAAAGCCTAATATGCAAATTGTCCCCTCGGGTGGTCGTTTGACCGGGAGTTTGATCGCTCGCTATGACGTGCATTGACCACCAGGGGGCAGCGCGGAACATGGCGGGCGTCGGCGATGCGGGATGCAGCACCTGGGCTGGGGGCTGGGGGGCAGGGGTGAAG